AATAAAGTAAATAAATATTTTATTGAATTTTTTTTTCAAAAAGTAATTTATTTTTCAGGATACTGATAAAAAAACTAATTGCAGAATGGATTGGCATCAAACAGGGTTATTTGTTGTAGTATCAGTTTATGCTAGAAAATATCAACCAGATCAATCGTTTGTTAAATTGAATCCTATACATTTAACTGTGGATTTGTTCTTTGTAGAAGACAGTTCCAGATATATCCTTGATTTAGAATTAAGTGGAGTATGTATTTAAAATCTTTAAACTACTTTTTTCAAGTAATTTTAAAAAACTTTTATTAATTTGCATAAAATTTCATCCTTTCAGGTTGTTGATGTTATGCAAAGCCGTGTCAACATGATTTCTACAAAAGTAGAAATTAAATTAAGGAAAGCAGAACCTGGATTATGGGCAAAGCTTGATGTTCCCAGAACATGTGAAATAGAAGTGAAAGAAAATTCTCAAAATGATGAGAATATTAGTGCACAAGTTGAAGCTGTAGATCTTAGTGATCTCTAAATATTCATATTTAAACAAAGGAATTGACTGTGTCAAAGTTATGAGGAACCAGGCAATGAGAATCAAGAATGAGGTGCACTTGCCTGCACTCACTGAGCCATTATTTTATACTGCTGTTTAAGTCAATGATTTACAGCTGTTACCAAAACAATGTGACAGGAAGATTTTCTTGTAAGAGTGCATTAAACTAAGCGATTATCCGTACTAGAAGACATTTTTGATTTCCGCAGATAATTTAATTATCGATCATATAAGTAGCTGTAACAAAAGTAACACCGAATCTTTAATGCATTTCGTGTTTTATTTATCGTTTTTCCGATAGCAATAAATTGTTTTTTAATTTAGATTTATAAAAATTGGAAATAAAATTTACAATTAATTTATACATTGCATTTATAATACTTCATTTATTCATGTGTTCCTTTGATTTCCGTGTGGTTTGTGTATACAGTTATTCCTAAAAATATTCATAATATTCAAAATGTGAATATGAATAATATGAACATTATACCATGAATATTCAAAATATTCTTTGTTTGCTAAGTGTACAAATATTTGTGTAACATAGTAATTGGACATAATTTTGAGTAAGCTTGTACAGTGTCCGAATATTTTTGGGAGTAACTGTACATAACATAAAACCACAGGCTGTGGTCCACAGCAAAGCTAACCTATTTTTCTTCACACACAAAATTGTCCAATCTTGTTTTATATTTGCTGTTTTCCTAAGTATTTTCTTACGCAAATAATATTCACTTAAAAAATTGTAGACTTTTGTACTTGTAAACAAACTTAAAACGATTGTATGTAATAAGAAAACTCACACGTATAATTCTTTATTGATAACCTCTTTAATTTAGTAAGAAATATATAAATACTTTAATATAAATATACGTTCAATACTTAGAATTAATTATTTAAAACAATTTATTAACAGCACTATGAATACTTCGATAAATAAATTACGGGTAAGGATTTGGCAGAGCTAACAGTTTTATATGCATAAAACAAAATATTTTGTGTAAGTTACATA